GTTTTTTCATGGACATGCATTTTTTGACTTGCTTGCTGCATGAGATTAGTGGACATGTTTTGGGATCGCCTGTTACCATTCAAAGCGGCTACCAGAGTGTTTTTTGGCGGCTTTCCTTCAAGTTTTCCCTTGAGCAGTGGGCGAAAGTTGTTGTCCTAGCTGGGGTCTTACACACTTGACTCAGCTTTGCATGCATTATTAAAAACACGTCTGTGTCTGAGTCCTGTAGAGCTGCCGACCAAGTGGATCCAATGACCTGCGGTGGATTCGGTTCAGGTGCCTCGCTGTGGAGTGGAATTTCAACGCCTCATGGTCACGGCCTCAGGTGGTGTGTTCATTTCATTTTTGCAAGACCTTAGAAACTCACGCGCTGTCATGAAATATGGCCTTCAAAGTGGCCGTGCGCGAAGGCAGCTGTAGAGACGTGCCTTCCGAGCTGGAAAGCGACCGTTCTGGGTGAGTCAGAGCCTGAGGACGGAACATGAAGATGACCAATCATGAAGACTGTTTGCTCACACATAGTAGGAAGGGAATCATCAAGCTGCTTGACAGTACGCAGGGGCAGACGGATCACAGGGAGATCCACGCAATGTTGCATTACCATATTTTGCACGGTAAACTGGCGGCCTCACTGCCGCAGGATACCACCACTTGACAATGTCTGTAGATGTTGCCCCCTCGCCCAAAGCTTAAGCCGAGCAATGATGAAGAAGAAGGTGATGGCGAGTAAGCAGTTGGCCTGCAAAATTGACATGAGTTACCCGTCCCCAACCGCAACGCTTGCTACTTCAGAAAGGCAGTTGCCAACAATCAGGAAAGGCAGCGCAAGCCACTCGCGAAGGTGCGTTACTTCGGTTTGCGAGCAAATGAAAAGTGCTGGCAGAGACCATGTGTCCAAGTCATTGTTTCTGCTTGCGCGACAAAACATTACAGCAAGACATTTCTTCCCACCCAAGCGCAAGCTATAGGCTTGGGACATTGGTCCTCTGAATCTTGTTGAGCTGGCCCCAGCGCATGGAAGTACAGGGCAGCTCTCCTTGTCCTGTACTTCAAGTTTGCAAGATTTGAGGTGACCTGGTGCTTGACATGTGACAGAAACGACCGATTGAGGAATAGGAAGACATCTATGACTGTCCGCTTGATGTAAGCAGGCGTTAGCATTTAACCCCTGGCAAGATTCCGATTCTGAGCCGCATGTTGCTGTTTTTTGTTGAAGGTCGAGTCTGCAAGCTTCCTTCCGAGCGGATGGGGCTGAAATTCTGCTCCGCTCTCAGCCAGCTGTGGCCGAGCGCCCTTGACTTCAGTACTGCGAGGTTGCGATGGCTCGGATGAAGTGGAGTTGGGTTTTATGATCAGCCTTTGACATTGCCAGGGTTTTGACCAGTGTCGTACTCCAGTCCGCTTGAGAGCGAGAGCGAGAGAGACTTTTTCGACTTTCG